ACCCCCCAAAAGCGGTGATGTGCCTCTGCCTTGCAGCGCAGCCATGAGCGCGGGTTCGATTGAGCAAGAGCCGTCGCGCAAGCTGGCCTGCTGCGGGGTGCCCCTCATCACTGAGGACATGCAGTCACTGGCCATCCGCACCCTCTCGGGCACCGACATCAGCAAGCACTACGACCTCATCCGCGAGCTTGGCAAGGGCACCTATGGCAAGGTGGACCTGGTGTCCCACAAAAGCACAGGTGAGGGGGGGGCGGGGGACATGGGGGGGACGCGGCTGCGCTGGGAGCGGGGTGCCCGGCATGTCCCAACCGTGCCCCAGGCTCACCCCCATCCCCTGCCCACCACAGGCACCAAGATGGCCCTGAAGTTCGTCAACAAGAGCAAGACGAAGCTGAAGAACTTCCTGCGGGAGTTCAGCATCACCAACACGCTCTCCTCCAGCCCCTTCATCATCAAGGTCTTTGACGTGGTCTTCGAGACTGAGGACTGCTACGTCTTCGCTCAGGAGTATGCCCCTGGCGGGGACCTCTTCGACATCATCCCGCCACAGGTGGGAGCCCCTGCCCCTCCCATGGGAGCCTTTTTGGGGTGTGGGGGTGTGCTCGGTATCCCCAGGGTGTTGAGCAAAGCTGCTGCTGGGCTTTGGTGGCCATGTGGGAGGGGGACGGGCATCCCTGTATGGGTCGGCTCTGACCACAAGCACCTACAAGCAAGTCTGGGACGCATCACCCATCCCATGAGTGGCCTGAGACTCATCACCCATCCCTGGGGTGGCCTGAGACCCATCCACACATCTCCTTGGAGTGGCCTGGGACCCATCACCCACCCATGGGGCAGTCTGACACCCATCACCCATCTCCTGGAGAGGTCTGAGACCCATCACCCATCCCTTGGGTGGCCTGGGGCCCACCATCCATCCCTGGAGGCCCCGAGACCCATCACCCATCCCTAGGGTGGCCTGGGACCCATCCCCCATCCCCAGAGGTCCTGAGACCCATCACCCATCCCTAGGGTAGCCCAGGACCCATCACTCATCTCCCCGCTGCAGAGAGCACCCCAGATAAAAGCAGCTGTGACCGCGTTGGACGTGTAATGACACACAGCTATGGCGGTCCCCGAGCTGGGTGGGATCACCTCAGGGTTTGGGGGCGGGTGGCTGACGCCGTGTCCCCGCGCCCGCAGGTGGGGCTCCCCGAGGAGCTGGTGAAGCGCTGCGTGCAGCAGCTGGGCCTGGCCCTCGACTACATGCACAGCAAGAGCCTGGTGCACCGGGATATCAAACCGGAGAACGTCCTGCTCTTCGACCGCGACTGCCGCCGCGTCAAACTGGCCG